AGCTTTTGAAAATTTAAAAACAAAATTGATTAGCCCACCGGTACTACAGTATCCAGATTTTAGTAAACCGTTTATAGTCACCGCAGATGCTTCGGGTTATGCCATAGGCGGAACGTTATCACAGGGAGAGATAGGTAAAGATAGGCCTATTGCTTTTGCTTCACGAACTTTGAATTCAGCAGAGAGAAATTACAATACAACCGAGAAAGAATTATTGGCAATAGTTTGGCTTTGTAATCATTTCAGACCATATCTTTTTGGTACTAAATTTTTTGTGGTAAGCGATCATAAGAGTTTGTTATATTTAAAAAATCATAAGGATCCTAGTTCTCGCTTGATGAAATTCAAACTCAAATTGGCCGAATATGATTTTGAGCCTATTTTCAAACCAGGAAAGTTAAATTCGAACGCGGATGCGCTTAGTAGAGCAATTTACATTATTGATGATGGGAAGAGTAATAGTATGTCTTATTCAGATTTCTGCATTCGTGCAAAGACTCATATTTTTCCGAACGTTCAGATTCAAGAAGTTAATGACAATATTTCAAAAGCTCCTTCGGACAGTTCATTGGCTATTCCGATTGGTGCAGATTTTATTTTAGACGATGTTTACACACGGTTGATAGATGATTTAGGAATTGGAAATAAGATTCTAGATTTAATTGCGAGCAAGGAAAAAGTTTCATTTATTAAGGTAGCGGATAAGTTTGTTTATTTCTTGGTATTGACAGATAGTAAGGAAGACAGGGAAAGTTACGAAAATATCTACAATGTTTTGGTGGATTTGAAAGACACTTTAATTAAAAGTGATGTAAATAAAATTTCAATGCCTAAATTAGGAGGGAAACATATTAGATGGGAAAAAGTTAGAATGATGATTAGATTTATTTTTGGAGATACGAAAGTTCAATTTTCCGTTTTTCACAATCAGATCGTTGCTAATGATGAAATAACTGAAGAAGAAAAATTGCAAATATTTAAGGAATACCACGAAATTCCAACAGGCGGTCATCCAGGCGTTAGTCGCATGTATAAACGAATTAGAAAGAAATACAATTGGAAAAATTTAAAGGCAGATGTGAAAGACTATGTTAGAAAATGTGATCTTTGTCAGAAAAACAAGACATTAAATAAAAAGGTGAAAATGCCATTGCAGATTACTGATACACCAGAGTTTGTGTTCGAGAAGGTCTACATGGACATAGTAGGACCTTTACCAATTAGTGAGCACGGTAATAAATATATCTTTACTTGTCAAGATGCTTTGAGCAAATTTTTAGAAGCAATACCCGTACCGAATATAGAGGCAGAGACGATAGCTTCCAAGCTAGTTACCGAAATAATTTGTAGACACGGGATAATGAAGTCTATTGTGACAGATCAGGGTAGTAATTTTATGTCAACTGTATTCACAGAATGTTGTAAGCTTTTGCGTATCAAAAAGTTGAATTGTACTGCTTATCACCCGGAATCAAATTCGATTGAAAGAACGCATAGGACGGTTGCGGAATATTTGAGAGGTTTCGTTAATGAAAATAAAACAGATTGGTGCCAATGGATACCTTTCACAGTCTTTTCGTACAATACTACACCACATAGTACTACAAATTTCACTCCATTTCAATTAGTTTACGGTGAAGAGGCAAGATTGCCAAGTTCTATTAGGGAAGCCCCCAGTTTTTCTTATACGTATGATGATTATTTAAACGATCTAAAACTTAAGTTACAGGTTAGTAGAGAGTATGCACGTCGAAATTTAGAGAAGAGAAAAGTTAAATCTAAACAGCATTATGACGAGCAGGCTAAAAATGTAAATTATAGCGTGGGAGATAAAGTTCTATTAACGGATGAAACGTTAAGATCTAACAAGAGTAAAAAGTTAAATCCTCGTTATACAGGTCCATACAGAATTGTTTCCATTGATTCGAACGTAAATTGTACAATAAAGTGTGGAAGAAGATTTATAAAAGTTCATAAGAATAGGTTAAAACCTTACTACAAAGATTAATTCAGGTTTCTTAATTACAGGATAATCGGGTTGACCTCCCATTTTCAATCATTTACGGCTTTCGACACAGATGGTCATCCGGTAAACGAACAATATTCATTTGCGGAAATCAAACAGTCTTCAGGTATTCATTACGAACATTTAGGTACTTCTCAATTGTACAACGATCAGTATGAAATTATTGTGTTTGTAGATATGTTTGAACATAATCAAAAATTAAAGGTTTTACAGTCATATTATATTCGTACCGAAACTTATTGTCAACATGAGGTTTATAAGGTTAAAATAGGTGATTTGTGCGCGTCATTCCAGAAAATGACACAGCCAGTTTTAGAGAAAATCAAAAATGAAAAAGATTTATTGAATCAATTAGTAGGTCATAGTTCAGAGGAAGAGGTACTGTCGAGTAGGATAAAACGCGGTTTATTTAATTTTATCGGAAAAGCAGCAAAGTTTTTGTTTGGAAACATGGATGATGACGATGCAGAATATTATAATCAAAAAATTAATCAATTTAATCAGAACGAACAAAATTTAGCATCCATAATCAAAGATCAAAGTCACGTAATTAAAACGACAATATCAAATTTCAATAGTACTATTTCTTCATTGAATAATAACGAGAGAATTTTGAAAGAAAATTTAGATAAATTAGAAAAGTTAATTGGTACAGAATTACAGGACATTACTTTGTTAGAAACTAGACAAATGATTGATGAGCATTTTTCGAATTTTATTATGATTTACGTACAATATCAATTAGAAACTCAGTCTTTAATTAATGCAGTATTGGCAGCAAAAACAGGAGAGCTGCACCCTTTTATTTTAACACCCGATAAATTGGTTTTAGAACTACAGAACATTTCGTCTCAGAGTTACTTACATTTTCCAATCATGCCAACGTTGGAGAATGCTCATGTTTTCTTAAATTTTATGAAACTTAATGTATTTTATCTCAGAGGAAAATTAGTATATGTTTTGGCCGTACCTATGACCGATAATCAATTTTACGACATTTACAAACTTACCCCTTTGCCAGTTCACATTAGTGGAAATAAATATATTTTCATAGCTCCCTCAAACACGTATTTGGCTATTAATAGCGTGAAACAAAAATATCTTTTAATGTCAGAAGGACAATTTTCGACATGTGTAGAATTTAGTAAGGACAATTATATTTGTAAACAAGAAACTCCTTTATTATTGACTCATGAAAATGAGAGTTGCGAAGTAAAATTATTTTATGTAACGAGTTCGGTCCCAGAGAATTGCGATAAGAGAGTTATTTCCTTGAACCAAAATATTTGGCATCAACTTTCAAGAAAAAATATTTGGATTTACGTATTAGTTTCTCCTGAAAGAGTAACCATAAATTGTAAAAGTCAATTATCAACAGAATTACTTAAAAACATAGGAACTTTAGAGTTGTCTGAAAATTGTAAGGCATTTACACACAGTGCACTTTTAGTACCTCAGCGAATTCATTCGGGTACATTAAATCAAAATCAAAATTTCATTCCTTCTGTTGATTTACTCGATGATTGTTGTGAAATAGACGAAAAGGAAAGGAGAAGACTTAACATTTCTAACATACACTTGAATCCTAATTTTAAAACAGTAAACATGCATTTAGATGATTTAAATTTGGCCGGTAAGAAGTTATCAGAACTCGATGATCAAATTGACCATATGAATTGGTTACCCAGCTCGTTCACTTCGCATTATAGTATTTTAAGCATTTTGTTTATTTTGGGTTTAATTTCCTTTTGTTGTTTTTGTTGTTGTAAAAGATGTAGACTAGGAAGAAAATGTTGCGAAGCACTTCCCGGTATTTGTATCCGAATTAATAATAATTCTTCAGCTCCTAGAGTTATGGAACCAATAGTTGAGTTTAGAAACCCGGAAACTGCTTCTATACAATATACGGATCACTCCCCCACAGAAATTCGTCGAACCAGAGCAATTGTTGGAAGAAAAGGTATAAAAGATTTCACGTCTTCATAGACGTTCAATCTTTCTTAAGGGAGGAGGTGTTGTAATCCAGTAGACATTAGGTCCTATATTATCTATTATATATATATTTTTATTCTTTTATCTTTGATACCTTAGATGGTTTCTTATCAGTTTCATTTAGCTTCTTAAAAGCACGAATTTAATTTAATACTTCTTGTAATAAAATCTTCTTATGTGAATTTTGCTAGACGAAGCTTGATTCGCAGAATGCATTTTCAGTGTTTGTAAAAGAGAAATAAGTTCTGTTTTATCTTAATAATTTTGTGTATCTTAATCCGAATTTGTTGCATAAAACTTATTTCTTTTAATTGTGCATTTTATGCAATTAGATTATTTTACTGAAAAGACTCAAGAGTCTATCAGAAACCGTCGCGGTATGAACACGTAATATTTTTATATTCTGTACTCCAATTTCTACAACCAATATATAATTCATCCTTAGTAATTCGGGCGTATTATTTCCAACACCTTGTTGGTTTACAACAATATTAATACATTAAATTTTAAAATAATGCACTCCAATTCCAGCTAATCTATAATAATGGTTTAACATTTACTTATTTCTCAACTGTTCCTTTTGTTAGCATTATATATCGAAAAAATGAAGAATTTTACAATGTTTATGAGCGAATATAAAGCGATTTGACAACACTGTTTTCAAAACGTAAACTATGTATTTACTTTATCAGTCTTACAGGTCTTACTACTTACCATACATTATACATACCTAACCTGGAAATGCAAGTGTATGTTTCCATTTTATACATGTTTAAATGTGAAATTAATTAAGTTACAACTGGATTTTAAGTTTAAAACAAATATTAAAGTGGTATTCTACATTAATAGTAAGTATAATTGAATGAGGTACTTTCATTGTCTATTTTACAAATTGTATTGGACAACAAACACGTCCTATAATTAGTATGAATGAATTTATAGTAGTATGTAGTATTAGTTTTGTAACAATATAAACGCCAGCATGATTTCTAAAGACCATCAAGTTTATTTATTATTAAAACCAATGTCAATATTAAAATCCCAGGAGAAGGTCTGTATTTTGTAAAAGACTGTTTTTGTAGTTTGTAATTATCGAGTTTAAATACGATTAAATAAATAGCAATTAAATATTAAATAGTGTCAACATAATGCAGTTATTTATCAATATGAAATTTCACGGTGCTAAAATTGTTTTAATAAAATAAATTCATCCTACATATTATGTACATTTCGTTGAAAACAGCAATATACAATTAAAAAATCCGGTATTGTTTCAATTTAATGTGGCGATTGTTGTACCTACTAAGAATAAGTTTATTTTAATTTATATTATATTAAATTCTATATTAATTATTAATAATTCGTTATCAATAACAACAAATTATCTAAGTAAATATCTACATACAGTGATGAGAAAAAGTGTGAAGAATCTTTGGAGATATCAAAATGCAATTTTAGAGATTTTCAAAAAAATATTTACTTAACTACCCACTTCAAATTGTTCGTAATCTTGCATATTTAATTTTATTATTGGGTACCTACATTACTATTAATTCTTATAAATTAATATTAAGTCTTGTATCATAATTAAAATAAATTTTACATATTTATGATGTTTAAAATCTTTAATAATTCCAAAGATATTATTTAGATACTACCGGCCGTTCGCCCTGTACATAATTTTTTTAATTATTATATGGATATATCGGATTAATTAAAAAAGTAAATATTATTACGATGCTTTGTTTTGCAAACCCAAATCGAATTGTTACGCAGAAATTTATATCGACCGAAAACAAACATAAACCAAATGCCTAAAATAACGAATCCCTGTTTATTGCTTTAAGATTTAGGTAAATCGAATTTATTATTCACTTGATGATTACAACTTCTAATTGGATAATACGCCGAATTAGATAATTACCAACTAATCCGTTAATTTTGTTTTGTTTGCTATATTGAAGCGATATAAATTGATTCGCGGTTTTAGCAGAATAACGAACTTTGTTTCGGTCAAAATTGACCTAATCTTTTTTAGGAATCGAATAAACGATGGTTAAATGAAGTATCGAGCACTACAGTGTATAGAAAAACGAAATAGTTCATCTTCTTAAGCAATAAATTATGCCATATAAACTGGCCTGTAGTACAAAAACAAATTTAAAAATGATCTAATTCTTATTGCAGATGGCTGATGTACAAGACGAGCTGCTTCAAGACCTCGAATGCCCAGTATGCATGGAATATTTAACACCCCCGATTAGGATGTGCACTTCGGGCCACAGCATATGCGACGACTGCAGAAGTAAAATCACCTTTTGCCCTTTATGCGCCAAGAAATTTTCGACAGGTACATATAATTTCCACTATTTCCACTATTTCCACTATAATTTCCGCCAATAATTTCCACGCTTCGGCGACTTTAGTATCTCTTTCGTTTTCAGGCAGAAATGTTACACTAGAACACGTCGCTGAGAAGATAAAATATCCTTGCACCTACAGAAAATACGGTTGCAAAGAGAAGCTGAGTTGCAATGAGCTCTATAATCACCAAAGAAAATGCACGTACATGGAAATTGTCTGTTTTTTTTCATACTTATGCCAGTTTAAAGGCTCACTTCAGGATCAATTGAGCCATTGCAGGTGTCATGATAGATATTGTTTAACGATGAAGGACGGTCAGCCGAGACGGATCGAATTGCTCAGTGTTAAAGGCTTATGTACTATCAGTAATCCAAGTTATAGTTTTTTAATTAAATTAAACGATAAGTACTTTTGGTTGCGAACGAGAAGATTTAATGTTGATAAGAGAATAGGTATGTGCGTTCAGATGATTGGAGATCGCGCGGAATCGTCAAAGTACAAATACGAAATAGCGATTAGCAATGGAGATAAGAGAATCTCCTTTAAGGATTCCTGCAAGCCAATTTACTTAAAGGAGGCGGATTGGAACGATAGCAACACTTTTTCTTTGAACGATAGATTGTACGATTTTTACAGCAATAATGGCTTTGAAGCAGATCTTACTATAGAAAAGACCTGCGATATCGTGAATTGGTTTTCGTGGTATCAATTTGTTATTTTCTTAGCAATTATAATTTACGTGTGTCAGCTTAATTTCAACGTTGATTTTGGTAAACTTTTAGCTCATTCTGAAAGCGCGCCTAAATTCAGCAAAAACGAATACAAACATAAATTTAGGAAAAAATACACACATGATTTCAGTAACGATACTAATACCAATTTTTGGGTGATAATTGCGATAGTTTTTATAACTATTACGACGATATATAATTTAATTAATTTGATATTTGAAACATTAAGGCGAATTGTAACTAGTTTGCTAGGAATATGATAATTAATAAAATAATAGAATAAAATTTTTATATAATAATTTATATAATATTTACATAATAATACTTTTCAGTCAATGAATAAGAAAAGTGTTACTACTTTCGGATAAATATTAGATTTAGCTCAAATTGTAATTTCTCTAAATATTGCCAACCATTTAAATTTATAAGTAATTATGTAGAAAACTTGTACATTTTAATAAAATATTTTTACCTAGTTTTTCTTAATTTTCCAACTGACTACAAACTCGTTGTGACTTATGACTTATTCAAATAATTCCAAATATATGTTTCATATTCTTTGTACCATTTGCAATAGAAACTACACCAGTGCCTTTAGAAAATTAACTAGAAACCAGCAATAATTGGTAATAAAATCACCATCATTCGCTTTTGTTCCAATTACCTTACCTCAGCGTTGCGAACATGCATCTAATATCTACTGAATCCAATACACCATATGATCAAAGAAGTTTCCTTGACGCTTTTCATTGTATTATCCTGCTTCACCCGCAGAAGGAGGTTGCTATTTAATTAATTGAATCTCGAATTTCTATTTGATTAAATCAGCAAAGCAAGGTAAATTGTGCACTGGCTGGGATCGGCTCGAAAAAGCCAGATTTCATTTATAGAGTGAAAGGAGCTTCTATTTCGTTTGGAATATATTTAATTCCATAAGCAATACAAGAAAAATGAATGTAGAGAATGTGAGGAGACAAAACTCCTACTTCAATATCGTTTAATTTAAATATTTAACTAATGGAATCCAAACAATAGGTTCTCGAATCCGTACGTTTCAAACGACCCGGGCATTTTCGTTTTCGCTCGAATTCGATTGCCAGTAGTCGAGAGTCGTCGTTAGTCTTCATCGGAATGAAAAACCCCAACCCCGCTATATCATTTATCAAAATTTGCGTCGCGAACACCGAATTCAGGCATACGCGTTTTTCCTCGATTAATTAAAAACCAGGTCAACGAAAACCCGATAGGCAGTCCCGAGTCTCGAAATTATATTTGATATGTTTGTTGGCCGTCATGTTTTATTTATTCTCGCCCGTTGGAAACAAGCACGGTTTTAAAATACGCGAAAATATTGTATTTCCACGGGAAAATATAAATTTATTATAGAAACGTACGGTTCGAATAAGCTGTAGCAAATCCGTGTAGGAACATCTTCAAATTAGTCAAATTGTAGATACTCAAAATAAATGTAAATTTTCGAAACTTCTCAATCAATGATTAAGTTATTTTATAAGACATACATACTTTGGTTTAGTGGCAATGTATTTCCCTATATCCTACGATTCCAATCTTCCAATCCAATGTAAATAAGAGAACGAATATTTGATCAAAGTAAGATACGCTAGAAAGAAGGAGTCATCTAATAAAACGTGCATAACCTAGCCTTGTAATAAAGCAGGATATGTATACACTATTGAGTTGATTTTCAACGAGAAGCAAAAGTCCGAATGGGATACGAAGAACGTAGGATCATCCAACTTTTGAACGGTTCATGACGATGTAAACGGATTACTTCACGCGCTTATCCTTAATTCTAGAGCAAAATCGTGTAACATCATAGGTCAAGGGTCGCGAACTTCGAAATACGCTTTATTAAATAACTGGAAGTTTCCTTATGTTATCTACTAGAGGGAATTGGAAATAGGGAACGTCATTCCCTAGACACGCTTTTATAACATAGGTACATATCCGACCCAGTCGAGAGTGACGTAAATTAAACATGAATGTTACATCAGTTTTGTAGTTTCTACAGGAAGGCCAAATTTACATATTTTAGCAAGGAATTTCAACATTTTCCTTCATAAAATTAAGGCGATGGTCTATGAACAATACTCCAGAATCGACCTGATACCATACCTAATTTTTCTTTCGACCTACATCCTTAACTATGACTGACGGGTGACGCAAGCCGACTCCTTTTTTCATTAATATCGCATCGGAAAAGCGACCTTTCGGCGAAACTTCGCAACCTACGGACCTTTTGTACTTCTAGCGCCGCTAAATTCGCCCTTTGACGAGGCATCGCGGGCAACTTCGGCCTCTCTAATCGCTTCCGAATGGACGAGCTTCGTCGAATACAAGAGACGCAAACGAACGCGATTGCAAAGAAGCGTAAGTTTATTGAAGTATCGAGTCTAAAGATTTTTATTCGGAATTGTAAGTAGGGAAAAAGAAATTAGATATAACATTAAAAGCTTGTTGGGAAACATATTGCGTCCTAGTTTTGCAATCTAATATAGTAAAATATAGTAAAAAGATCACATAGAAAAATGTTTTTCTGTCTGAAAGGCTGTCAAGATTGGAAGAAAGAAAGAAATTAAGCTACAGATAGCTAAATTTTTCTTTCAACTCGACTAAATCCCAGTTATTAAAAAAACAAGCAGGACATGTAGAGAAATCTCAAGACCGATTGAAGAGCCTTTAACGTTCGCCGGCGTTATCCAGAAGTTTCCAATTCGAAGGGGAGCTTTGTGCCGACTTTCCGAACACAATTCGAATGCGAATCAAACTAGAGCGCAGAAAAACTTTAAAACAATTCCTCCGACGAAATATCGGATAAATAAAACGACACCTGTTACCGGAAAAACGTGTAAGCAAATACACAAAGCGCTTCCCAGAAAACGCCTATTTCATTTTTAATTTTGCCAATATAGAAAAAGCTCGTTTTTCGATTCTAACTCTGTGATATCCTAGAATATTTAAATGAAATTCGAATAACTAGCTTTAACTATAAGTAGGTATTCCTACTCTACTCTACTTTGCAGTCCTGCGACTGGTCAATCTTTTCTCAAATATTATACCATCGAGACAGGTTAGGAAAAAAAAGTGAACTTTTAGTGGACAAAATTACAGGCGAGATGATCCTGTTCAAAGCAACTTAGTAGATCGGAAACAGGTGTAAGGACGCCGGGGAGAGGAGCGCAGGCTCGCATTGATTGCCTCGCGGTCGTTCCACATTTTGGGAGAACAACGGGCAGGGCCCGGGAAGACGCTCACCGACTGGAACAATGGGAAATTACAATTCGAAATGGGCCAGCGTAGTCGGGCGACTGTCTTCGGGCCGTTTGTGCGGTTTTCGCGCCATTGCGAACCCGTTACGGTTGCATTTCGTCCATAGATAATCCTGTTAATGCTGATTTAGATATTAAAAAGTATTGTTAGTACCTACTCTTCAAGATTATACCCATTAAAATTGACTGGAAAGAGCTTTCTGTAAGACAAACAAGTCTGGAAAGCTTTTATTTTTTTTTCGATTCTTCAGAAAACTCTGGAGCAATCTCCTTGAGTAGAGGGAACATATTAATTATATTGGAGCTTTTTTCGGTGCAAGCTGGGCCCGCGGGGAGCGTTTGGAAAAGCTATTCCGCGCGTATTATGGGATAAAGCGATCGACCTTTTGTGCCTTGTTGGAAAAGTCGCATAAAGGAATGCAATTCTATTACTTTATTGCCATCCGTCGAGACTTGTCATGGCAATTGATTCGATGGCGGCAAGAACAACCGCTCCGGTTCGAAGGAGATGTGAATGCACTCGAATCGAAAAAATGTTAGGAGAATAAGAGAGCTCGGTGAATCGGAATATGGAGATTTCCTGAATTTTTGCGAACATTGATATTGAAAACTGCTATTTGGAAAGGTATTTCGTGCAGTCAGTTTTTTATCATGTTGGAGGAGCAATTTGAGATATTTCGAAGACGATTCGAATGTCTTACATGGGCAATTCTTCATATAAAAGTGACAGGATGAGTATATGTATAAAAACAATTTTCTTCGAAGAACGCTGGCATTCTCAAATGTGAACCTACTACTGAAAATTTCATCAATCATTCTAGATAAGTTGGGGAAAATTTCCGAACGCCCGGTACGCAGCATAAAATCATGAGCCGCATAAAACACAAAATTTAAGCTTTTCCACTTATTGGATTCCGCATTTCATCGCGCTCACCTATACGATAACCGCCCCCTCGGAAAAAAACACATCGACGATCGTCTGCCATTTGATAGACCTATAAGATCCGGCGAAAAGGGCCGATTGATTGACGGAATCGTTCCCTCAAACGACTTTTTTTTCGTCGTCGGTTCAATTTTAACTTTTCGCTTCATTTGCCCGCGTCGCTCGACGACTCTCTATCAATTTCCCCTCACTTTTCTCCCGGGCCTTTGTTATTCCCATTAAGCGGCGTGCACTTTTCCCATGTCTAGTCGGACGCGATTTTCCAGGAGAAAAAAAAAACCGGCAAAAAGCACGCTTGAAAATACAGCGAAAACAGATTAGACGAACAACGCAACTTTCGTTAATTAAAGGATTAAAAAAATAGTGAGCAGTAAAAGTAATTATGAATGTATAATGAAAGATAGAAAAAGTCGCTATTAAAGAAGATGAGAATATTGTATACCATTATATATACAGGTTGCTCCATTTTTGATCGCAACATAGGTTATATAGGCCATGGGTGCGATAAAGACAACTTCCATTAGACACTTACAAAGGAAAAGGAAAGAGTGACATTTATGTCATTGCAACTTTTCACTCTCACAACTGTCATTTTAATAATCTTTCTTTGTTCCACTCATAGAAACGACCATGTTGCGGTCTGAATTGAAGCAACCGATATATTGGTTTCTTTAATGTATACAAGATTTTGGAAAACGTCCCGCGCTTTGATTATCCTGACCACAAACTTGTAAGAGTGTCTCCCGGCAGGAGTTTTTTTCCTGTTCTGCGTCACATATCCATTCTATGTGCTCAATAAAATTTTAAAATCGCTTTTATCTTCCCACGCCCGAAAAGGGCTCTTTCGCCGAATATCATGCACGTGTCAGAGACACTCTCTTCGTGACCCTTGCCTTTTGTGTATCGTTTAACGTTCGCTTCGATCGCGTCGAGGGGTGTATTTAGACGATTTCCAGCGCCTACAGGAACGCCCTTACCTCTTCCCAAAAACCCCTCAAGAAGCCCTTGCAAAATGATTTGCAAATAT